CTGAAATAGCTAGATTTATTTCCGATACGTAGCTTTTATGTCGTGACCCATATATTGCATCGATTGCAACTATTTTTTTAAAGGCTTTTTCGTTTGAAGTATGGTTACTATAGTTGTTATTGTCATTATGAGTAAGAGTATTAATAAAATTAACAACGACTGGATTACGATTAGCTAACCAGTTGTTAGGCGTGAAATCTAATAAACTATTAAATAAAAACTGTTCTTTATTAAAAATTAATGATTCGATATCATCATAAACATTTTGGCGTTCCTCGTTTGCAATTTGAATTACAGATTCAATTCTTTTTCTTTGACTATCATAACGGTTTTTCCATTTATACTTCAATGCATTATTTAGTTCAATTAGTTCTTTATTTACTTTACTTATTTCTTGAACACGCCCCCAACTTTCTATTACATAGTCATATGCATATTCTAATCGGTTTTTAAGGTCTTCTACCTCAATTACTTTTGAATCTAGCTGTGATTGGAGAAAACAAACACGGGTTTCAAGAGTATGCAACATAATGTCGGCTACCTGTATACCGATCTCATGGGTTTCTGGATTAGCTTGAACACCGACTTCATTAGTTTGAACAACATTTGTTTTATGCGCATATTGTGTACGAGCTTGCTTTTCAACAATTTCATTGTCAAAATCACTACTATTTATTTGCCACTTTTGTTTATTGCGATTATTTTTAGGAATATTTAATTTATAAGCATTTGATGTAAAAAATCAGATGCAACAAGCTGGTTATAATGCTTTTCGCATAAAGAGAAATCTTGTAAATGCGTTTGAATTTGAATTAATTCAGGGAAAAAATCATTATACAATTGAAGGCGACTTTTTGGTTTTTTACTATCTGCATGTCGAATTGTTTGTGAATTTTTAATTTCACATTCTAATAAACCTAAATTTTTATATAAAGGAACTAAAGTAGCAAGAGCGCAAGGCAAATTCTTTGCATTCGGTCGTTTGTTAGCTTGGTTGGCTTGGTTGGCTTTGTCTTCTTGGTTAGCTTGGCTGGCTTCTACTAATAAAAGAGAAAAAAATTGTAAGCCTAATCATATTGATTTTTGATAGCATAAAGAATAATTAAATAAATTTAACAACCCTAGTTTCGTCCACAAAAAAATTTAGCCAACATAAAAATTAAACCTCAGAATCAATATTGAAGCTTTTTTAGTGCTGACAAATTACCATTGCCACACACAATTCATTGTTACTGGTATTGGTTTCAGAGCTCTAATTATGATGTAGGTTATATTTTTTTGTGGCGATACCAGTTCTATTAAATAAATTTATTACGCACTTATACAGTTATAGCGATAGCAAAAAAAAACCCCGAATTCCAGTGGTATTTCCAAGTTAGCAAAGAACCACGTAATAACTAGCGGCTTATGATAGCAGAATAGTTATAATAGTAAGGAAGTATGGGACCAGCGTTGACACAGTAAAGAGCACGGTGCTTACTTGTTTTACAACGAATTTCTAACAGCTAAAAGAAAAAAAAAAAAGTAAAGTTTAATGTTTTATACTTTTTAATAACCTAAGAAAACTCGTGTTTTGCTACACTTATAAA